TTAAAACCTGCTAGCACATGTTTAAAACTAATTACATCGTCAGATGTATTTCTAATTGTCTGTTGTCTCTAGTTTGACACAGGTACATTAACTAGGTGTTAAGACTAAATCATCGCTTTTGTCTGCCAAATAAACTAACTAATCGTCCACTGAATCGAATCACACTCGGTTTCACTTGCACTGACTTATCAAATTGAGCAGATCAGGATATTTTGTTATCATACAATTGTATGTCTTTTTTGTACAATACATTTTTCCTTTAAGTCCTTGTATCTTGATAAAATATCAGTTTACTAAGTGGGTCATTGTCTTTTACGAGTTTGTGGAGATTTGAGTTATTAACGACACGCAGACACGACTTCTAGGCAGACAAGATAAATCAACACGCCGTTGGCCACTGTCTATCTAAGTACACGAATCATCATTTCCTGTATATATATTAGTGTTATAAATATGTAATTTGTACAGGATTTCTTTAATTGATTGTATTTGTCAAACCCTTCCATACGGCCGCACTGCTATCTAAGCAGGTGCTAGTGTATTTTAAGAACTTCCACTATACGTAACTTTTAAAAGTGCATTCGTGACCATACGATGTAAAGTTGATGCTATAATTATTTGGTAAGCTATTCATTCTAGACAAGAAATGTACCACAGGGATTATACTTTTGCTTTAAATAACCTATTTATATAGTTTCTCTTATCATGTTTTCATCAACAATACACCGTTGAAAATTTGAAAATGTCTTAACGTAATGCTGTTCTATGACCTTCACCTGCAGACTGTACAATGGTCATCAAAGTGGTGTGAACATTGTAGGGCGATGATGCTAGCGTATTGGGTTTCAACGAATTATCTTTTGTCGTTGAAACGATATTATTCAGTCCGAGCCAATAGCTATTTTAGCAGAATGTATAGCCGACTGAAGGGTACATAATACATTTTTAAAGTATACATCTCCTCCCAGAAGGGTTTTACAGTAAAATCCTTATTTGGAAGGTTTTAATGACACATTATCGTTATGTGAATAAAAAAAACAAAATACTGATTAGATATTTGAACATAGGTAACATGTATGTGTAAGCTAACCTTTAACAATGAACACACTGACAAATATTTTTTCTTCGACAAACAGCTTGTAAATAGTTTAAGGTATCCAATTAGACTTGGTTATGTTATGCAGCCTTGCAAACATCATTATTTACAACAAACTAAACTTTAAATCGCTACACAAATAGTTTGCTTCATTTGTTAATTTAATTGACATCTTTTGTAATGAAATTGTAATTGTGTATATTACAAATGTTGTTTGAATATGCTTCATACGCGAATTATAATGGTGACCTGTTTTCGTTTTTTTCTGAAACAAATTTTAAACGATACCCTTTTCTCCTGCATTTATAAAAATAAACCGAGTTTTTGTCATTAACTTTAATGTACACGATAGATTAAATTTTCCGATACCATCTGGTACGAATATTCTCGTATACAGTGGAAATTCGATACAAGTACCTGTCAACAAGAGATCCTATACATTATGCACTCATGCATATCGTTCATCTGCTTTTATCTGACCCAGGTTTACCCTTTTTCCTACTTACATACAATGTAGCTATCAAAGTGAAGTTGCTAGGGTATTTTGAATCATCTCATCATATTGAAAAATCTACATTATCACGTTTATGAAAAATCACGAATCAACAAAATAGTACTGTATGTAAAATATTTCCCATTAATTCCTTGATAGTCAATATTCACTGCTGACATTAAGTCCTCATTTTGGTTGTTGTCACTTCAGCACCTTAATTTCAACGATGGAATCTCAGTGATAACCAACTGGCACTTAGTATCACAAATGCGTCCTACATGTAGAGGGATAAAACAGTTGCATATTTCAATGTAATTTATTTTTTTGCATACTGTAACTACATTCAAAATTTGAAAGGTGCAATTACGATGGTATCAATGTATACTTATTTAAGGTGTAAGGCCATGTTCACTAAACTACACCAATATAATCTCATCCTCCAGTGATGCGGAAACTGAATAACGTTCAAATTATTTGTAGTAAAATAGATAAAAATAATCATATTGTCAACATACAACAACGAAATGAAAATAGAGACGATTCGATAAACAATCAAAGGAATCAAAGAACATATTTTTTGCACTACAATTAGGTGATATACCCATTAGTCATATTTTTTGCTAATGAACCAAATAGCGTTGATGATATGAGCATGATTTTCCCTGCGAGGACCAATCCCCTTATCACGACTCCACCATCAGCGAGAGTGCAACAGCTTGTAATTCGCACCGATACGTGTATGTACGTCATGGGTATATGTGTAGGGTGGTTATGTTTTGCATGTCTAGTCATATATGTGAGTTAAAAAACAATATCAGAATAGTATTCTGTAATACAAACTTGAATATATATTCATTTTTCTGACTTGTCATTGGGTCGAGTTAACTAAAACGGGAAGATAATTTATAATATTATAGCATATTTATAAGATTTATTATCAATTTCTGTGGACTAGGTTGTTATTCTGTTGCTAAATCATCAAAACTTTTGAATTTATTTGATATTTCAGCAATATTTCTAACTGGGATTTGAAATTTTCATTGATGAAATAATATACACATAAGAACGTATTATGCATTATTTATCAAATGTGTATACACCTGACGCATATTTTAATTACGAATATTAGTGCATCAAGGTTATTGGAAAATAAAAAGGTAGTTTTTAGAATATCACATATCAATACAATCTAAAATATAGTTTGTAATGCTTACCTAAATTTTTAGCTAAATAACATAAAATGTTCTTATCTTAATGGTATTGGGAAGTTAAATTTGTTCGAAACACTTACATTTGGGCTAGATTTTAATGTCTTATATCAATTTTGAGCACAAGTGTAAATGTTGCGAACATCCATGGGAACCATCTTTAAATCTATTATTTTGTATATAGATTTCATTAAATGGCCCATAAACTGTGAATCAGTCCATTTTCATGAAAACCTATTTTCGCGACTTTGTTTTAAGAGACATTTCCGCAAGTCATTAAAATTTGATTGGGTTAACAATAAATGCCATACATTATATCATATCCGCAAATGGTTGTAACAATGTTCGCAAGGCAATAGAATTTGCAGCAAGACCGATCAAACACGTTTCAGTGTATAGGACAGTACTCACCTTTTATGTAATTTGTAGTATGACGACTATCTAGAGATCAACAATATATCAATTAAAATTAAACAACATAACACAACGCAGATGATGGGATTTCGAAATATCCAGCCTGTAACTCCCTACTTACAAACGTAACGAAAATTTAACATTGTGCGGTACAATACCGTGTACCTTCGTGATAAGAATATATAATGTACTCGTTTCGCGTTACCATGCGAACAAACCAGTAACGACGTCATTCAATCCGTCCTAAAATCGTCATGCGGTCATAGGTCATGGTCATGTGTTCAGTTTGCTTGCTGTAACGCGAAATCTGGGTTTATATCCAAAAAGATAATTCGACAAAGGCGGAGAATGTCGACTGTGATAATGAAATGAATACCGTGCGAAATTCAATACATTACCCCAACATAATTGACGATATTTATAGTCCTACTTGAAGAAATATGTACTTTGTTTAAAGTTGTAATTGCGTGCTATCTGATGCATTGTCAATATATTTGTATATTGTGATTGGATATCAGCCGATGTCAAATTATTTTTTAAGTGTAAGCATATACTTGTCAAACACTGCACGTGATTAGTGTAAATATCAATCATGTTCAAAGTCTGGTTATCTTAACGTGAGCTTTACTTAGATATATCATCGTTACTTTTCAAACATTTTCACGTGCGATATTCAAATTTTATTTATGAAGATTAAGTGGTATCTTCTTCAGAAAAAAGAGATATAATTTTTTTTTGGGACATTTCCGAGAAATGAATACTATTTTTCGCGCTTAAGTTCACGACGCGCTAAGCTAACCAGTCCTGTGTTCGTTGACCGTATTCCTAAATCAATTACATACTTAAATAACCTTTCAATTAAATGATATTTTTTATATTGTATTTTCTTGAAAAATAAGCAACTACTTTTGATTTAAAATAATCATCTTATGGTAATAAACAAGATACTCACATATTTAATTGTTTATTTCATTATTTCCCATATCATTCAACTCATGAATATCAAAATTTCTTGATCCTAGTGTTAAGCAGTCTGGTTATGTACTCTTCAATGCGATCAGAATACTTTATTTCTATTCGCAGATGATGCTAATGCTGACATGACTTGCCAATTCTGTTCCCTTTACAAGATAATGTAATTTATTTTCCAGTTTCATTTTTTTTTACGAATGTGTACATGTAATCTAAGTATTAGCTAACAAAAGATAGTACTATATATTGAACTTCCTGAAAAAATATATCAGGAAATTAGTATGGGTCAATTTCAGGGTCATTTCGTGTCTGTCATTTAACTTGAGATAGGAGTTCCCACGTTACTCGTATTGTCTGTTATTAAATGGAACGATTGACGGTTAAGACTTGAAAGCTGACAATGCAAGCAATACCTATTTCCTGTCACCTTGTTCTAAACATGCATTGTCAACTTGAGACAAACTTGATAAAAATAATACCCTATTTATGTTATATTGTTTAGTATATCATTTTCATCGCTTTTTTTATTAAAGTACTTATAAGATAAAATTTAGAAATTAAGTGAATGTATCACAGTGAGAGAAGGTATGGGAGTTTACACTGAAGAGAGATTACACTGTGTATAATACTCTATTTTAATTATACATCTAACAACAGCTGACATAGGTAGGTTGCGGTATCCGACATTGGTGTGACATTCATTATGATATATCTGCAGGAAAATTAAATATATATACATAATTGTTTGTGTTTCATTCATGTTTCATGTTTTATGTTTTTAATTTTTCCATTTGTTTGCAGTTTGACGCAATCTTACCTGGCACGAGAACCTAACTTTGGCACTGTCTTTGAATGTTCGCCATCGGTCGTTGGGCGGGTTAAATGTTGGAACCAGGTACCACATGTGGGGATAGTACTGGCTAAACAGACGATCGAATTCCCCATGCCAGACCAATTCCATTCTGATGAGAAATAAAAAAAGAAATTATTAATTTGCAAACAACTCTGGATATTTCAAATGAAACAACCTCAGAAACGATGTTTGTAGAATCATGATAACAAAATGAAAACATGTTGATATTTTCGGACTGATATGCTGTACCATTCACACGCCTTACCTAGGATTTGACGAAGCATATCACCTTTCGGCTGAGATAAGTCGGTATCGATCACCTGGTATATGTTATAAATTGAGTTTTACCTCATTACACTTTCATATTTTTGCAATAACACTTTCGCGTTATAAAGAGTTAAAGCGATCTATATTGGGGGTGGGGGGTGGGGGGGATAAACAAGTCTTTAGTGCTGCTCACTGATTTTGACTTGAACAAAGAAAGACAGAAACACAAATTTCGAAGATTATAGATAGAATAATACACCACTGACAGAGGTAAGCGACATTTGAACCTTGTAAAGTATATCATTCTTCAGTCACATTGTCAGAATCGTAACTCTGGCATATTCAATACGACTCATCAGTTTGTAAAAATGTTATATCAAAGAAGTTTTTCTTTATACACAAACAATTAAATACGTAAATTGTTTTTGTATACAGTAAACTTTGATATCGTAACTCTGGCGACGTAATATATCGTGGCAGCCTACATTTTACACATTTGGTGCCTGACCTTAAAATCGGGAACTGTGACATCTCAACTCTTTACATTAATGTGGCGGAAACATTTTAAAACCTGCATCATTAATTATGCAGACGGTGTCAAATCAGTGAAAATATGATATGATTTATCGGGTTTAACCCTAAAGAGGTTCATAGACGCTTCATAAGTAGAGTGCATGCATTCATTTTAATATGCATACTAATATCAATTTGCATATTATTACCGTCTTAGACATCGAACAATTTATCAAAATGTAGGTTATATACTTCAACAGTTATTAATTTAAAACGGCGTGTCTGTGCAGTATATGATGAGCGAAAAGTGTTACGACACAATAAGTAAGGTAGCATCATGCATGCATGCACCTATGAAAGGTGTTACAAGTAGACTTTTAAGCATTGTGTATATATTATTTAACGGTTATCGTGTAAAATTAAACTTCAACCGCAAAAAATGTTACAGCTCGTCGATTTTAATGTAAACGTACCACAACCACGAAAGTTTGCACCTCGGAGAACATTTTCACGATTTTTGAGGTACCCGCAAATTCAACAAAACAGCAAATATTTTTTTAAGTGAATACTGGGCAAGCATTGCACATCAACTTAAAAAACCCAATCAGGAAATATGAAATATAGCATCAATGAAAAGGTTTGTAAAGGCAACATATTTAAACAAGTTTTAAATCATACAGTAGATCTATGTATATATTTTATCGTTTTGTTGTTTGAATTTAAAACAATGACAGTATATAATTAGCATACCGGTATTTCAACATCACAATATATGCGATTAAATGTTAGAAATGATACTTTTTTCATATTCAAATCGGAATGATTTCCAGTATATTGTTATAAAGTTCATGAAATAAGTTTTAGTACGTAGTACATGCATAAACATGAAGTAATAAAGTAACAGTTTATTTGTAAAAGTGGTAAAGTATTGTAAACATCTGTTTCAGTGCAACTATACAGGCCCACGCTACGTGTGTTACCGCCAGATTTATAATGATTGGTATTGATTTTCCGAGTGAAAACCTGTTACCTGTCTTATGAATGACATTTATGATTTATTGATATTACAATAAAATGAAAGTGTATGTGTATTCTCTGCATGCTGACATATCAAAACATTTTGTTCGCCCTGACAATTTTGACGCTTAGCACTCTAACTGTATAGTTTGTGGTGACAATGTAGATGGTAAACTTGTATTGCTGTGTGTATAAAGTTTCAAAGTCCAATTAGCATGAAGTCATAAAGGGTTATAGGATAGCTGAAAGATAAATGCTCGTTGAGGAATGAAATAAGAAAAAGTATTTTATGAAAATCTAAAGGATTTTAACCGGCGTAAAAGATCTTTTTTGATTTTTTATAAATATGTCTCTAAGATAGGATGCACATAATTGATGCTCAATACTGAGGGGGAGTAATACAAATCACCTCTTACGAGTATACATTGGGATACAACGGTCTTCATTGTATTGAACCTGCACGTTTCAGAGCACCTCTAAGTTTTAAGTCATTTGTTATTGTCTTGAAAATTTCCCTTTATCTCAATCAGCAGAGTTCTGGACTAGTTGTGATCCTGTGTCCGACTCAAATCGGAAACACTTGGAAAATTAACATCATTTACAGCGACGCTCACATAGGAATCTGGGTACTTTGAAGAGTGATATCCTTAACCTTATTCTCACGTGTGTGATAGTACTCAAGGAATCTAGAGGGCAAGATCTTTTCGGGTTCGACTTCAAGCGGAGGCACTTCCAAAACGTAACCTCTGTCGCAAGCAAGTACATGTAACGTATGATTGCATGCATTGAAATAGTTTTGTCATTCTTTTGACAAGAAACATAATTGTTTGGTTTAAACATTTTGCCGTACAATGTTTATCAAAATATGATGTAAATGCACTCATGTTTTGCATTTAACACCGTTAAATTACATTTGATGATCTAGAAGGTTAACACAGCGTAGAGTAAAACTGATACATTTAAAATACGGTATCTTACTTGCACACAAAGTGTCAAATAAGGTTAATGTGGTGGTACTCTGTAATTACTGGACATAACTGGACAACCGATGACCGTATATGATGACGCACGCCATTCTATGGGACCGGCGGTCACTCAGAGGACACTGCTCATCATCAGAGAGACAAGTTATTCGAAGCATACACAGCTTAATGACAAATGAACAAAACAAACATAATCTTTTGTTTTAAAGCATCAACATAAGTAATCAAAATGCTATTTCATGTAATACCATGTCTTCATCTGAATGCATGAAACGCAAAAAGTATTTGTCAATTTTAGATATTTATGCAGTATTTCATATAAAAATGTTTCAATAAAATACTCTTGAAGCTGACAATGCTATTACAACCATGTCTAGCGTATAGCCAATTATATTTTTTACAGTCTTTATGGCTAAATGTCGTTTCTGTAATTTTTGAGAAAGTAAACACATTTCCGACTTTTTTTCATGAATCTTAAATGTTACTCGTTAGAAATCTTATTGTTCAGAAGACTCAGACAAAAATCAGGAAACTACGATCAAAATTGAATATGACAAATTATTCTATTTACTACTTTTTAATAAAACGTCTTATTATGATATCAGAACGATATGATGGGAATGTATTATCCTTTCTTTTTTTTTGGTCTTTGTTTTGCTTTTTATTTCGTGCTTTTAGACCCTGTGAAAGTTTTGGAAGAGATGAGCTGCTGTATCCCAGTGCATTTCGTAAGAGCTCAATTGTTGCAAGGACAATACGCCCAATATTTTTGTCTTTTCCTGTCCGTTTTGATTCCGTTTTGTAAGAAGGAGGCACATTTTACAGAGACGTGAAGATTGAAACGTCGACGCGTAAAAATATTCGTTAAAGGATAAACAAATACCGTTGACATTACCATCGACATTTGATGCCATCCTAGTTTTAAACCTTTTAACCGAGTTCTCAGTTACTGTACCGGAATAAATTAACGGAGTACTGATGCAATAATAAATGAATGGTTTCAAAACACCGGAGTTGTATTTAACTGTAAAAGGGTATTTGTTTACACTCGATTAATAATTTTCCAATTAAAAATCAACTGAAGTTTCATACTTGTATACGGTTGTATAGCTATCCAGCTGTGCATGCTTACAAATGTATTAATCATAGTCACACAAGAACTGTTAAGCCCACTATCAAACACAATTCATGATGAAGAGAGATATACATCTTCCTTTAATTTGTATATTTAGTAATGCACTTTGAGTGTCAAACAGCTTTTTGTATATTATTCATTTATTTTATCGAATGTGACCTAACGCAACTCCGGGATACATCGAAACAAACATTTATACATGTAATGTATATCTCGACAAATTGGTCTTCCTCTACGAATTCGGGAAATGAATAAATCCAACTGCATTATTACATGACTACTGTTGTGGGTTGCCCTGCATAATTGGTGTTTTATATCATACTTTGTTGCTAGAAGGACCATTTGATAAACAAAACGTCTAAATTATGACTTAAAGATGCCGTAGGACACAAATCTGCTGTATAATGATAAATAATAATAATTCGAGATTCTTATATACCGCTTTATCACAACTTAGTTTGCAGGTCGTCTCAAAGCGGTTCACAAATTAGTATCTGTGGTTTAAGGGCATTTGCAAGCAGCCAATATCTTTCTCTAACTCCCTGTGGAGCATACAGCAGGTGCTGCCATTTTGGCACTCACAGCTAGCATTCAACAATTCTAGCACTTCCCAACCACGTACTCATTTACAGCTGAGTAGACTGGAACAAGCGGAGTAAAGTGTCTTGCTCTAAGATACAACACCGTGCCATGACGCGACTCAAACCCGCAACCCTTTGGTCACGAGCCCCGCGTTCTCCTACCACTAGACTATCGCGTCTCCTGAATAACGTTTGGTTTACCGGGTACGTGGTTTTAGTTAGCTACGTGATTCAGCTATTATTACATGTAAAGGACACGCGACATATTAATGTGTGCCGTTAAAATGGAACAGGTGGGCTAGGTAAACGGTTTTTGTTACTGTCATATATATGATCCACCATACGCATGTATAATAACCACTAATACAAGTTTTACAAACACAATAGACTTGATAAAATATCCACCTTAAATGTAAATGTAAATATGATATAAACTGTTTATGCATATCAAACCGGCTTGATCTGCAGTGAAATATGAAATAAATTTAACATATTCATTATGTAAAAAAATGAGACGGGCATTTCCCGCTAGAGAAGGTATTTACCGGTATACAATAATAAATAAAGAATATACTTTAAGTGCAATTTCTTTTCATATTAGATGAAAATGAGT